GCCATGGTATCGTGATGAAGAGCTCAACGAAGTATTGCAGACTTGAGTCGAGTCGCCTTAGTCTGAGCTGCTACAACTTCGAAACAACGGCAGCGATCGTCGTCACGGCACTATGCCAATGCCGTTGTGTTATAATATGTGATATGCAGTACTTTCATACAAGATAAAATATTACGAGTACGATCAATATTATTATTGTTAGTACTAGTATTGGTGTCAATTATTTCTACTATTCTCATGATTGTTATTGCTATACTGTACTATGATATATGCCCAAAGCAGCAAGGTTGGGAGCTCCACCCAGCCACCGGCGATGTCGCCCCGCTGTGCCCGGGCTTCCACGTGATTACTATAAGGGCCGAAATAATTACCAATACTATTTTGGGGGATCCCTATTATAATTATAGCATAATGGGCCCCAAGACCCTATTCTAACCAATTATTAAGGCCCCTATATTATGGGCTGAGGCGCGGATTTGAACACATCTTGTTTGAGATCACCGGCCTGCAGTGATTTTTGCAGCTGCTGAAGCCGCACATCTTCTGTTGCAAGCTTCTTTGCAGTGCTTGAGTCCGGAATGTTCAGCATTCTCAGCCTACTTCTTAGCCCACCGAGCAGCTGGCAAGCCAAGTGCCTGGTGCTGAATCTGAATTTCACTTGAACTTTGCTTCCGAAAAGGACTCAACCGAAACCCGAACGCCTAGTGCATAACCGGGAACAAGCAATATCACATTAGGTTGGCGGGAAAGCACATCCGCAAGTTCAGTCGATGCCCGAGGAACGTTTCTTCCCTGATACTTTTCACTTCGAACCGAGGTACCGGGCGCTGAAAGCTGCGGAGCCGCGCTTGAATGCACTTGCGGCAGCAGGGAGAGATTTCGCTGTCGACGCAGTTTCGGGGTTAAGCGTTTTGCATGTGGTTGGACTTGCATCTGGGTTTGCATCGGGCCGAGGCGTTTGCATCCTCTAAATGTATCGTCTAACGCCCTTTGCTCAGGCTGGAAGCTTTCTCCAAAAGCCTCCCGAAACCGGCTCCAAGTCCCGAGTTCTCGACCCCAACTTCGACGGGACCCAGGACTGGGGAGGATATGCCATGGGCTCCTTCCGCAGGGCGCTCAGGCACTGGGAGGCCCAGATCTTGCTGCGTTGTGTGGGTGTGACATGATAGGCCCCCCTAAAATTTTAAGGTTTGGGGCTTGAGGGTTGCAGGGTTTGAGGTTGATTTTACGGTTTGGAGTTTTAGGATTTTGGGTTCGAGGTTTTTGCGTTTAGGTTTGCGAGGTGCTTGGGCTGCAAGTTTGAATGTGTGTGTTGAAAGGATTAAGCATGCTGAGCTCTAATTGTCAAGGGAAGCTAGCTCCGTAGCAGCCACCTCCCTGGTTCCTGTAAGTCTAGACCTCCGAAGCTGTCGAAGAAGCCCGAAGAATGGCATACATCTTTAATTTTTGAAAATGCCTGGTATGGTTCAAGACGCTTCCTCGGGAAGCATCCTTGCTCTTCGCTGCTGTTCCTGTCCATGGACTTATTCCAGTTGCTTGGGAAGTAAGGCCTGGAGAAAGGCTTCAAGGCCTTCGGCTCTGTGCCTCCGGCGCGTCCTTGGAAGTCTTTTCGTTTGCTTCCTGGTCCTTAAGCACTTTCTATGGCTTTCGGGACTCGGGCTCAGGCCTGGGGCCTCTTGTGTTGATGGTTAAGCATGGGATCTGGAAGGGTTTCGGCTTTCTTCAGTGAGGGTCTTCTGAGAACCCGGAGATCCGAATGACGAGCAACGGCCATGGTACAGAGCCGGCTGGCGAAGTCGAACGCCCAACATCTGAAGCTTTAAACCAAGAGCCAGTAACTCGTACCCCCATTAGCCCCCCGAGCTCTTTTGTGTTTATGTATGTGCGGAGTAGGTATATCGCTAGATGAGAGAGTTGGCTCCACGCCTATGTACGCCGTCACGTGGCGGTCTTGGGATCCTTGCATGCCCATGCCATGCCGAGGGATCCTAAGTCCTATAAGTCTAACCCCCGAAGAATACTTGACCTCGCAGTAAGATCCCCCCCCCCCCCCAGATGGCTCCATTCCACCCCCCCTTTTTTGAAAAGAATGGCCAGGACATGACCAGGGACCACCAGGCCCTGGAAGCCGGGATTAGCCGAGGCCTCGGTCGCCATCCTTTCGAAGCTCGGGGGGATTCATGGGATGCTCGGTTTTGTTTGGGTTTAGGGTGCCGGGTGTAGGGTGTGCGGTTTACAGGGTTTAGAGGCAGGGGTTCCGGCCCAAGGTGCAAGGTCTTGGATGGAACTGTAGAAGGGTCACTAGCAGAGATGTCGCAACTTGCTTCGATACCATGCATCGCTTTTCTGGTGTGATGTTCGTCACGTGGTGGTTTCGGACCCGACAGTAATCAGAAACTTTATGCACGGCATCATGGCAGTATATTCCATGAACCTCCAGGCTCCCAGACCTGAGTCCCAAGACTCATCGCTGATCGGAAGCGAAAGCACAAGCTCCGGACCAAGGTGGAAAGTTTCTGCGAATGGAGTCGGCCTGGCACGTTTCCCCATGCCTCGGAGACAGAGCGAAGCACCAAGATGTGTCATCGGGGCTTGGAACATGCTCATGGGACAGGGGCATCAACCATGGCTATGACGAGGAGTAGTTAGTCAAGCTCGCTGAAAAGCCTGAGAAGAAGCAGCGAAGCGGAATGCATTTACAGCTGCGTTGACCTCTCAGTCTTGACACCCCCGCACGACACGGCTGAACATGCCTGGGCGGCACTCCGTGTTGACTCTGCGCAGTCCAGGGCCCAAACGATCTGCGTCCGCCTGTGAACTTCTGCGGAAGCTGTGAAACGATTTCTTCTTAACTCCCTATCCTTGGCCCAGGCACCTTTAAGCGAGAACGCTTCTTTTCCTGCGCATTCCGGAAGATGCTACCAGTATTTGGCTATATATTATACCTTATATAATTATTTATAGTAATTATATTTAACGGCCAGGAAAGACTTCATTGGCAGAGATGCCCTCGCTGCAAGCCCAGAGCCGGTGCAGCCCTGAGCCGCCAGGGACGAATGGGCGACAACCCCAAACTAACACAACAAATATCACTAAACCCCTAAACCCTAAACCCCTAAACCCCTAAACCCCCTAAACCCCCAAACCGTAAACCTTCATGGTGCCTTCTAAGACCCGGACTTGGGATCTTCGGGAAACACAGGGTTCTGCTTCGTCAAGCCTCCGGCATTCTGCTTCTAAACCCTGAACCCTAAACCCTGTCTTTGCCTTCTTGCTTCGAGTAGTTCGCGAAACCCATGGGTCTCTCAAGGGTGGAACGTGATGCCAACTTGATATGGGAGTTTCCGAACATAGGGGTACCTCATTTTGGGGTCCTTATAAGAAGGATCCTATTATTTAGGCACCATATAAGGGTCCCCTATTTTCGGAAACTCCCATATGCAGAATAGTCAGCTGTTGATGATCGGCCGGCTGCTTGCGCAGTTGCAGCTAAGGCGAGACGACTAGTGCACCTGGCTGTTACCAGCCCGGAAGGTGCAACAGGGCTCGAGGATGGTATGTGTCGTGCCTCGCAGTTGCATCTTGGTGGCAGGTGTTGATTGCGTCGGCAATGAGTCCATCTTCAACTCTGTCACAGGAGCTCTTCAAGATCGAGGGAAACCGCCCTGTTTTGCGGTTGGTTCATGAAAGATCTGGATGTCAGTGCGAAGCCGTGAAGGAGAAGTGGTGGGCTTCACAACAAGCGGTGGGTCCAAGCCTAAGGGGCCTAAGAGAGGAAGCATGTCGCGCGAGCTCACTGACGGGCGGTTTGCTGAACGGACATGGTGGTGCAGCCTTGGAGCAGATTTATGGAAAGTGTTTCATCCTGCTAAGGTACGGCTACCTTGCAGAGCAGAGCATCGCCTTTGGCTATGTGCCGTGCTGAGTAGTTCAGTGGTTGTACCCGCACATTGCCACTGATGTCTATGTTCCAGCAAGCCTGTGGCCTGCAAACTCTTTACCTAGGCATCGAACGTGATGACGGTTCTAACACTGCAACTGCTGCTGCTAGTGAATACTGCTGCAACAGCAGCTACAGCTCCTGCAACGCTACGACGACTAATAATTGCTGCCGTAGCAGAACTGCAGCTACTGCGGCACCGACGACACACACACACACACACACACACACGCACTGCGCGCACCAGGAATCATCAATAAGACCAGCAGCAGCACCGCCGCCACCAACACCACCACTATCACCGGCCATCACCGGCAGCACTGCTGTCGCCCTCTTTTTCCAGTCGACATTCCTGTTACAGCTGCGCTGCCATTGTGATTGCTATCAATCTTCTGATGAATGCTCTTACACACTGTCTTTTGATGTAAATAGCCATGGCTCTGTACGTTTCAATTTTTATACATATTATACAGCTATGAATGAATGAATGTTTGCATGAATAAGAAAATTGATGAATAAATGAATGTATGAGCGAGTAAATGTATGTAAGAATTATCTATGTCTTCCCTCAGCACTTCTCGTGATACCATGTGATACAATGAGCTGTTTGTCATGTCACGCTGTACTGCTTGAGGTGCACAGGTGGATGCTCTTGACTTATAAGAAATGCTCTTGCCATCCTACTCCGCAGGTGTCCTCCACAGCGTTAGAGTCCGGAGCGCCGCTGGCCATCGAGGCCTTGGACGAACAAACTGCCGGGCTGGCGGTTTTCTATTTTCGAATCGGGTTCAGGGAAATTCCTGGTAGCAGCAGGTCATCATGATGCATACCTCGGTGCGGGTTGATTGTTGGAGTTCAGTTGTCTGTCTTGTTTCAGGCGTAAGGGCTTCGGAATGTCGGTTTGTGGGTGGTTCAGCCCAAACTTTCTGGTTCGTGATGATGTGGGGGCTGAGTCTGGATGTTAGGGCCTGACGGCTACAGGCTCGCAATCGTTCTGTACTAACCTGCGGTTTAGGCGGCTGTAATTCGGCCTCCTCACCGGGGCTTAAAGTTTAGGATTCAGCACGTTTTGCTGTTTCAGATTTGGGAAGAGGACCGATGCTGGGAAGGTGAAGCGCTCGAGCTTCACAAACGGTCCGTGAGCCATTCTAGGCCAGATATACCATGATATACCTGCCAGAAGCGTGCTCCGCGATAGACGGTGAAGCCTGGACCCAACGTGACCCGTGCCCGATGTCCTTGAAGACAATTCGTATCCACTTCTAAAGCACATGACCTCGCGGCTTGATGTTCCGCTCAGGTCATCGGTCAGCTCTGCGAAGCAAAGGTGCAAGAAGGGTCTGCCCAACATGTTATGAGTTTGGATGGTGGAGGGGCTTCCGATCCGAAAAAGCAACACAAGGGTTTCCTGAGTGTTCCTTGGTTTACTCATTTTAGAATCTCCTCCCCAAAACCCTATCCCTCATTCAGGCCCCTGTAGTAGTGGCGCTTGCAGGCCGTCGAGTTCAGAGTTTTTTCCTTGGACATTGGGCTTAATTATTCGCCGCGAAGCGAAAAGCACAGCGAGCCTACGAGGCAAAAGTCAACAGAGATCTCTTGCAGTTACTATAGGGGCCTTATTATAGTTGTAGTATAATGGGCCCCAAAACCCTATTCTAATTGTTCAGGCCCCTATTTTATGCAACTTTGACGTCCCACGGTTCTAACACATAAAGCGCGAAGGGTAGGCTGTGTGGAGGCATCTGCTGCTGGGGCTTCAGGCCAGCAGAAGATGAGAATGAGGGAGATGCAGCGCACAGAAGTACAGAAGACAAGACCCACATGGAATAAAGGCTCAATCATTCATGACAGAGGACCTCTGTTGGTCATTTCCAAACTGACACTCCCAGTCGACGTCCCTGAGCAAAGGCTAAAGAGCGAAAGTCTGAGGCACGTGACAACCTGAAACGGATCGAAACCTACGCATTCATCTGCTAATTCAGAACCCTGAATAATTAGAAGAGCTATACCTTAGGATCCCTGGCTATCGCTGTGAATATACACCAAAGCCCTATCCTACCTACTAAACCTCTACGTTGGATCCTCTTGCCCCAATCTCCAAGTGATGGCCAGGGCATTCCCGGTCAAGCAGGCCAGATTGAGGGTGCTCATGCCAGTCTGCGACTGACTGTATGAGGCAGTGATGGTTCAGGGTTCAGGGAGTGACTCTCAAAATCGCAGGGATTGCTAATGAAGGTAAAAGTTTCGAAAGATGTACAGCCCTTGCTGCTCAGGCTGATGGCGATTCGCTTAAGGTTGAGCAGGCCGGGCGCAGATTGTCGAAACATAGCAAGTTGCAGTTGGACTTGGTCTGATCCAACCTACGGAGCTGCTACAGGATTGTTGCTGTATAGCTCACTGATCCTCAGTGTATGAAGACAGATCTCAGCATCAGAAGAGTACTGCTCCAGGTTTACATACACACTTGCGTACATGCATGACCGTATCACATGCATGGGCATAGACACGAATGCAAATGTATATGAAAGTTTGATAATTAGCTTGTATGTATGAAACACATACGGTTGCTTGTTCAATGCAAAGAGCCCGCATTGCCACTGACAGGCAGCTGGCTCCACAGCCAGGCTCCTACCGCAAGACCGGTTCAAGCCACGTGAACTGTATGATTGTCTTTTGGGATTCGGGTTTGGGTTTAGGGGTTATGGCTGCTTGGGGTAGGGTATTGGTCTGCGTCACAGCTGCATTTTTCCCGGGTTCATGCGGCAGCTCAGAAGTCCCACCCTTTCAGGCCCGCCATTTTTGCTTGCATGTCTCGAGCGTGCCAGTAACTTCCCAAAGCTCCTCTGTTTGATGCGAGCACCTTCAGCCCTAAAACCTAAAGAACAGTTGTGCGTTGCACAGGACTATAAACTCTCGGCTAGGTTTCGCATGTTGGTCGGGGAAAGAGGATGGTTGGGGTTTAGGGTTTCGGGTTTAGGGTTTAGGGGTTTAGGATTTACGGGTTTAGGGGGTTAGGGTTTAGGGGGTTAGGGTTTAGGGTTTAGGGTTTGGGCTATTCGCTGCAAGAGTACGAGGCCGCCTTGAAAGCTTGGGCAGGCCCAGTCTCTGATCCTCATCGCCTCATCGATTTAAGCAGCTTGGCAGCAGACACTGCACCACATGGGAGTTTCCGAAAATGGGGTACCTTATCTCAGAATAAGGATCCTACGATTTAGGGTGCTATATTAGGCTTTGGGGCCTTGGTGGCCAACACGAAGTCCAAATCGCCTTCAGGACGACAGCTGTATTGTCGGTAACTTGAACCACTGTGGCAGAGTCTTTGGGAAAGGCCCCATACGCCCGCAGCCCTGTTGAACTACACCTATTCCGCACAGCCAGTTGAGGACACGACTGAAACAACCTGTAAATATTTGTACATACGGAAAATTCGCTCGGTGCAGCTTCCTCTTTTTTGGGCAGGGTAGCCCCAAAAGCGATATGATTCAGACTACTCAGAGCTCAAGTCGCTCCTGTGCCACAGTGGCCAAGGGTAACGTTGCAGAGAGAGAGGCGTCTTCTCTTCAAGGGCAGCGGCTTGCGCCAGAGATCTCGGCATTTCAACAGCTGGGAGGATCCTGCAGTCGATGCCACCTGACCAAGGAGTCAAGTCGCGAGAAGATGTGACGAAAAGAGCAGGGAGATAGGGAGGGCAAGGAGGTTTACTGCGACTTGCTGCTGGCCTTCTGGGACCAGTGAGAAAACGGGTCGTCTGGTTAGAGGAGAACTCCCCATTCTCGATGCATTTGTTGTTCCTAGTGTTCGGGGACCTGTAGAAGCCCCAACCTGAAGTTTATTGTGCTGCAGATATTTAATCCACACGGTTCCTTATTATACGTATACTAGAAAGTGGCGCAAAACCCTATTCAAATTTTTAAGGCCCCTACATCACCGATATTTGGTGAGTTGCCTTCCAACCCACGAAGTCGGGAGCCAACGAGGAGGCCTGAACACCGAACCCTGAGCTGCTCGTTAAGTCCAAGGCTCAAGAATAGAGCCCGCCATGCATGGCAGAGAGGTTTGTTAGAAAGAATTTGCCTCGAGGACTCAGCGCTCGTATCTGCTCTCCACACCTAAGACAGCAAGGTAACACGAGACCTGCTTCAGCGACTGTTGTACTACGCATATGATCTTCTATCCAAATTCGAGCGGCAGTCACCCACTGCGAGCTTCAAGTTCGCACCAGCAAGCAGCACTGATCGTAAGCGAAGATCTGTTCTGTAACTTCCAATTTTTCGTCTCGCGCCGCGTCGGCTGGGCTGCTTCCCCAGAGGATGCGTGTACAGAGGAATCGGGCCGATGTGCTGTGTTGGTTCGTGATGTATTGTGCAAATGCAAGAGCTGACATGCGCTTGCACACACAGGTGTAGGTGTACATGCGTATATGTATGTATGTGCATGCATGCATCAATGAGTCAATGAATGAATGCATGTATGTAGATGTATATACGTATACATATACATAATCATATTTAATGTATGTACACATCTGTGCAGCTTGAACCGTGCTGGCCAGAATGGTTTGAACGTACTTCTCAGGTCCAAGATCCAGAGATGCCCGAAGGGAATATCCCAGCGGCGAAGTTCGCTCGAAATGGCGCAGAGGTCGGAGGGCGTCAGCATTGTTTCTTTTGCTTTTTTTTTGAACGGGGGGCTGGGGTCCCAAACTAAGACTAGAAATCTCACAAAATCTCACTAAGTCACTAAGCATCATCCTGAGACAGCAGGTGAGTATTTGTCTCCCTTGTGTTCTGGCATTCCTGGTCTACCGTTGCAGTACGTGTTTGAAGTGGGCAATCAATTCAATCAAGAGGTGTTGCTTTGCTGTTTTTCACCAAGTCACGAGACAGTGGTCTAGACTTTTCCAGACTATGAGTCTTTTCACCCCTCTGAACCAGAAAGCGGGATACCATATCATTGATACAACTAGTGCGATGTACTTTGCGGTACTATGTTCAATAACATGACGGTATTGTACGATGATCGTAAAACTTACTTGATCCCATACGACGGAATGCTCTGCACTTCACAGAGAAACACAGAACGTTGCATTGCGTAGCATGCCGCATGAGAAGGCGATATGTGTTGCAAGACGGCCTGTAGCATGGAAGCGTAACGCTGTTTTCTCTACGTTGCAATGTACTGCACCGGGAACCCATTACTGGCTCATTCACACCATGTTGGACTGTTTTTAAAAGCACCTGGCCTGCCTATGTTATGCCATGCCATGCCATGTTTCGCGCTTGTGATGATGTGCGGTGTGTGATTGCGTGCTCGCTCCCGACAGTGTCTCCCAGTTTTGGCTCGCACCATCACGAGCACGATCGCTCGCTGTTTCTCCCTCTCTCCCCCCCTCTCTTCTTCTCACTTTCGTCGCATGTCTTCGCCTTCCGCATGATTGTCGGGTCATGGCAGTCGCAGAGTGGAGCTCTTCGCCAAAATCTTTGCCCGGTCCTCCTCTTCCCCCCTGGTGTTTGCTTAAACATGGCGAATCTAGTGGCAGCTAGCGTGTAGGGGCACGGCATCACTGCCGCGCCATCAACCGTGCAGCTGATGCAGGGTGGACGGTCCCTGTGGAAGGTTTATGTAGCATTTTCTTCCTGACTTCGCAAATTATGGACGTCAACAACCTGCAAACAGAGCCGGCCTCGTGAATGAAGTGACAAGCACAGGGCCGTGGCTACGTACTGAAAGTGGCCGAAAGCAACCATGCCAGAAATTCTCCAGCAATTACCATGTTTCGTACATGAGATCCGCGGTCTTTGCTTCTTGAAGCACGCTACAGCTGGCTGGCAGAAGGATCTGTAAACAGGCTCCTGCAAGCACTGGCGCATCGCCCTGCAGGAAGTGCTCTACCGCAGTGAACAGCACAACACCCGACAGGACGGAATTTGCTTGGAAGGGAGCTTTGCACACTTTCTTTTCATGCAATCTCCGATTGTCGACTTCGATCAGAGACATCTCAATTTACGTTCGTTCAGTTCCTTGAGCCTCATCTCTAGGCTTCTGAAACTTTCGGCGGAGACCCCAACAGCGAACCCGAGTGAATTTGTCCTTTCAGGGGTGTATGGCAGAGTATGTACAAGAGGTCGCGGTCTTACAGGGTGTCATTGGGCGGTTGCTCCAAATCGTGACCCCTTCCTGGTTGCCAGAAAGAGCAACGAAGAGCACCATCCTCACATGAGTAGCAAGCCTAGCTCGAACATCTGGGGAATTTGGATCTCGGAGTGGGCTTGTCGGCGAAAGTCCCGAGGACTGACTCAACCCCCCAATGGGGCCTAATATATTTCAAAAACATGTTCAACCGATTATGCAGATGCGAGTTCAGAGGCCAGGGTCCCGACAGTTCTTGCATCAGGCAGGAAACCATCTTAAAATTGCTCAGGCCTCCACTCAACTATAAACCGTTATAGTCACCCTTGTAAAACCCATGTGTTTTAAATCCGGCGCTAACCTTTTCCTGGGCTGGTCCACCCTTGCTCGGCCCGAGGATCCCGATCGGCTTCCACGCTGGAGGCGGAAAGCTTCTGCTGCGTCCGGCCCCCGAGCATCGGGTGCTGGAAGTGTTGTACAGGGTGGCTTTATAGGATTCCTTGTAGAGGGTTTGATTTGCATTAAAGATTTACATGTAGACGCCTTGATGGGAAAAGGGTTTTGGGGCACTGCAGTACAGATTAGGACAATAAGGAACATTAAGGAGCCGTAAGGAAGAGTACAGGCAATTGTTCTTGGAGTGCCAACCTTGTCGTCATCGTGCCTCTTCCTTAGTGCTGGTGACACTTCGTATTCGTGTCGGCTTTGATTTATTGGCCAAGACCCGAGTGCGGAAGAACTGCCGGCTGACATTATAATTTCGAAGTCGTCCCCGAACTGTTATCTCTTTTCGGGGTACACTCGGTCTAGGTCTAGACTTCTTCGGGAATGCTAGTCCGCAAGCCCCTCGGACACTTGATCTTCTGATTCGGCTGCATTTGTGCAGTGTGAGACGTGGCCTCACTGACTCGCCGCAGCAAAGTTGCTCAGAGTGCGAGTTTTCCAGGAAGGCGACGTGGCTGCTTGGCAGGACCCTTCTTCACTTAAAGACCCGCAAACGTGGACACGCACAAGCTAGTACAGTTCGCAGCACCGATGAACTAGTTGGCAGTTGGCATAGCCTGGGGCCACAGGAGGACAGCATTTTAAGGCTAGTTGAGCCATGGCGCTGTCGGGCTACTCCCCATCCGTGGGCATTACCGTGAACGAGGCAAGGACAAATTACCAACTGATGTGCATGTGCATATTACATTGTATGCAACAAAGTGGCATCATCGGTCGAATGAGGTGTGTTCGGAGACTGAGACGGATTGACCGCCAGAAAGAGACGGAGGTTTTGACAGCGGCAGAGACACGGACGGAGCTCTAACGGACTCTAATCCCCTAAGGAGGGACCCTTAATGGGGACCCTTACAATATAATGGGCTATATAATGGGTATATAATAGCTATATTAAGGGTATATACCTAGGGGTCCTTATTAAGGGCCCCTCCTTTTGCCCTTGAAAGAAAGGCCACCGTGACGCGGCAGCCCAAGATCGACCGCAGCCGACCCGATGTGGAGCGAAAGGACGGGCTTCTTACCTTTGCTTAGTAGAAAATGGGAATGAAAGGGGCCTTATAAAGGGATCTATAAGGGTTAGTATAAGGGATCTATAATTTGGGGGCTTTCATAATCCTGTAGCTTACCTTTGGTTAGTAGGGAATGGAGGAATGGGGTACAATACAACTACTATTACTACCATTCTTCCAGTCCCTACTAACCAAAAGTTAAGGCTTCCGCTGCCTTCTGTCACAGCGTGGAGGGCCTGGAGCGAGACCGAGCCATGCTACTGCTACTGCTACTGTTATACTACTGTCTATTGCTGCTACTACTACTACTACTACTACTACTACTACTACTACTACTACTACTCCTCTTCCTCCTCCTCCTGCATGCTGCTGCTTTCTGAATTCTTCTGCCACCAGTAGTAGTGTCCTCCGTTCTCGCGTCGCAGGACCTCGGCCTGCGCTCCGCTTTGGCCGCAGCGTGCATCGCCGGCGGCGTGGCGGTGGCCCAGCGTCGCAGCCGTGTGAGCCGTCGATTCCGCGATGAGGCGACATGGGATTAGGGTGATGGCTTTGGTTGTTTTTTTGGTTTAGGATGTTCAGGTTTCAGGGACCTTGCAGATGAACAGATTTTTTGGGCCTTTCGTGGGGTTTGTGGTTCTGACGAGTATGCTGATAATTGAAATTCAGTAGCAGCACCAGGGGTGCTTAAACTGAATGAGGGCTGTATTGCATCCAGATAGCATGAGCTAGTCAGGGCTGCAGATTTGGAGTGCTCATGGATCCGGATGTTGGACATCCTGTGCCGGTATCACAAACCCACATTGACATAGGATCTGCAGATGCTGAGGCTGAGGCCGGTTAACATGTTGCTCGATGACTTGTCAGGAGCAGCTGCACACTGAAACGGACTTGCAGAACGAAGACTCTCGCTTGCAAAGCTTGTTTTGATTGCAGGCTGAGTGCCGCTCAGATAATCCGGTCAGCAGGGAGTTATCTCATGGATGTCCTAAGCCTAAACCCTATAAGCCCCAGGCCCTAAGCCCTTTGGCCTTAGGCCACGATCCGACACCTGAGGACTGGTCCTCTTTCCAGGAGATTATGAGCAAGACTCGCGCAAAAGACGAGGATGTCACAGACGCAACACTCCCTTGTTTGCAGGCTGCAACTGATGATGCAAGGACACCAGGGTGCGAATGACGAGCTGCATACCATCACACCAGACCCAAACACACCTCAAGCCAAACGAGACCAGCCGCTAGTGGCTAGTCGCCTTCAGAGTGACAACCCTCCTTGCGGGTTTGAGGGTGCTCAAGGGTTCTTCAGCGGTTCTAATGTATAATCGGCTACAACAAAAGCAGATTCTTATGATGTTTGACCCCTGAGCTCAGTCCACTGTTGGCTGCCAGGTGGAAAATAGCCTTCCGGTGCATCGGCCAGCAGGCTGAACCGACAATAAGGAATATACCATAATTCATAAATTCCCGTAGTTTAGGGTCCTTAAGGTAGTGCAGGGTTTGTATCATCAACCGTACCAGATTGCGCAAAGGGGCATGGCAAGTAGGCAGCCCTGATCCCCGACTCTGCAATTTCAGAGTTTCGTTTTTGCAAATATGTCTGAGAAGCCTCTGAGGGCGCCGAAGGGCGGATGTAGAGCCTGCATTGCCGAGGGAACCTCCAACTTCTCCTTGCGGTTTAGGGTTTAGGATGTGTTTGTCATAACGATTTTGATTTTCATGGCATTACAAGGTCCGCCAGCATTTACCGCCGTGATTCGCGAGTGCCTTTCTTGGGTGCTGCCGATAGTTGGTCAGCTGTCTAGTCTAGTATTCAGTGTCAACCTTCATCTCTAGCTCATGTTTTCCCGCCTTGCATCGCCATGGAGGTTGGAGTGCTTTCCGCCCAGTGAGTGTGGTGGCGGCGAAGATGTCCGGCAAGCTGTTACTGAGCAGCACTTATGCCTATGCAGAAATAAATGTCAGAGAGCTTGCTCTATGTCGAGATGAAGTCAAAACGGATCCACCCGGTAAGCATGCCGAAATGCGCTAAAAGCCCTATGTATGTCACCTACCAAGCCTAAACCTTGAACACTACTTTGTGCAGCCCACGGCACGGTCGAAGGCTTCTCAAGCGAAAGGCTCGCAAAACCCTAAACCCCTAAACTGTAAGCCGTTCCGAGGAATGCTGAGCTGGCCAACGGCCGGCTGGCATTGCTCTCTGCCTCTCGGGAGCCTTGGCCGCTGATGGCTCAGACTTGTCATGCTCCGTCTGTTTGTCTGTTTGTGCCGACGGAACACAGAAAACTTCAAGCTTCTGCGTTGCGCCAACGCGCGGCGACTTTTTCTACTGATTCTACTGCGACAGCCGCTCAAAGACCAACCGGAAGATTCCAGACGGCACGCGCGGTATTGTTTATGCCCGCACATGGCAGCCGTCCTGGACCTGCGAATGCTTAGCCTCGAGACTCTCAAGACCGAGACATCCCCATGCCAGAGCCGACAAAGAAGTGTGGAGCCCGAACCTCACAAAATTACAAGAGCGACTCTACCCCGAGGACTTGCGTGTGGAGACCCACGCCAAGCCCACTCAGGCAGGCTTTTGGCATAGTTTTTGAGGGCTTCTTGGATTTATTGTCCCGTATCCTGGAGAATGCTGGGGCTGCAAAGAGGTGCGGGCACAGAGTTCTCAGGGTCGCGATCATCATCGTCAATAGTCGTCAACACCATGGTCATCATCATGAGGATCAGGATGCGGATGATTTGCATGGTGGATGACGATGAGGATGAGGATGCATATGCCAACAGCCCTTGGCACCCTCGTACCGACATGACGGGAATGCCCAGCAAACATTATCCTACCCTAAACCCTATATCATTATGATCATTCTGATTCTTCAAGGCAAATCTCGCTGACTCGGGAAGGGAATCAAGCAAGGCCTTCGCAGGTTTGCAAAGTCCGCCCCGAAGCCCTAAAGCCAGAATCCGAAACCCTACACACTGAAGCCATATCCTTGGATCCCCTACCCGATTCCGGATACTTCGGGGAACTCCGGGGGCAGGAGGAGATAGAGGCAGCCCGGGAGGCGCGGAAGAAGTTCGACCTGTGCCCTGGCTTTATCAAAACGAGGGTTTAGTCTTTAGAGGTTTAGAGTTTAGGGAACCTCAGCGACGTTACTTCATCGGTTTTCGGGGTTCAAGGATTTAAGGGCTTGATGCTTTACATTTTTGGGCTGTGATGCACGCGCTTCAAAGTCAAGAGCTCGCCACCAACTGCTGTAAATGGGGCGAGGTAAACAAAGCTTCCAGTGCCAAGAAAACCAGCAGCCCCCTCACCGCAAACACAACAGAAAGCGATTCCCGTCTCAGGCGCGAACACACGCACAACACACACACACACACACGCACACACACGCACGCGCACACAGACACAGACACAGACACGGACACAGACACAGACCCAGACGCAGACACAGACACAGACACAGACACAGACACAGACATAGACATAGACATATACATATACTATACATATACATGTACATATATATATATATATATATATATATATGTATACACACCCACACACACACACAAGCACACACACACACACACAAACAAACACACACACACACACACACACACACATGCGTATCCCGACACCGCCCAATCCGCAACACCACCCAAGGAAAGAGCTGCCAAGCGATGAGGGCTACGGTTGGGACCCCGACGATGTGGAGAAAGAGAAGCCGCCGCCCGGATGTGAACAGCTCCTTTCTCTGTTGATAGAACCTTGACTCCAGATATGCTGTAGTTTCGAACGCAGCCTCGTTTCCAGCATCATGCTTGTAGGTTGCTCCAAGAAACCCATACTGTCTTCTCCTTCCGTTTTGTCCAAGCTCGATTGCTTCCCGGACGTTCGGCAGCTGTACTATAGTTTAGTCGTTTGGTCTTTGACATCCTCAACACCAGCGAGCTACATCAATCTGTCTATCCAAGCCAAAGTTCTTTGGACTCAGACTGTTTAAACCTTGCCACGAAGGCTGAAACGTGCAGCAGCCTCCAAGTCTTTAATGCTCTGCTGGAAATTGGCTTTTATGCTTCGAGCGGGCAGACGCACTCGAAGCTTGTTTAGCCCGTAAGGTTAGACCCCTGCCCCCTAAAATCCTATAGGAACCCGCAGCCGGCAAGAAACAGCGGCAACTATCGTCATGATGATGATGACCATCCAACATCATCATCATGATCATACACACCGTCATCATCATAAATATCCATCTTCATACATGAGCTGAAAGATGCTTGGTTTTTGAATATATGTAGGTACGTATGTAGGTACCGTGATCTTCGCGGTAGAACTGCTTCCGCAACCTTTGCCTCCTCAGGTTCGACCCCTCTGAGGCGGAGGTTGGCATCACAGCACCCCTCGGCTTCTTCGACCCACTCGGCTTTTGCAAGGTCGGCGACAAGGAGGGGCTGGGGCCCAAGAGCAGGGGATCTTAAGGGCAACCGGAGGGAAGTAGGATTGTGGTATCAAGATCTTCTAGGGTTAATGTAGTTTAAGAGCTATCTGCTAAGGACAACACGGAGTTTTGGGATCTAGAAATTTAGGGACGTGGGATGATGTGGTTGAAGGGAGCTGGTGGAGAGCTTACAGGTTCGAAGAACAGCAGTTGGAACCAGAGTTCCCCGCTGGATGTATTGACATGATTTCCCCTGGGCTCCTTCTTTCCATACAACATGTAGTGTTTTGGGGCCCATTACTTGAGATTACAATAAGGAATCCACCAAAATAGTACTGGTAATCATTAAAAAAAAGCCCCTATAGTATTGTGTCATGGAGCGATGAGAATGACTCGTCGACTTTTTCGGACGAGTATCCTTCTTCTCTGGAAAGCGCGGCGAGAGGCAGAGCCGCTCCACTATGGTAGTGTACGCATAACCTGGTGAAGGTGTCCATTTCCGAACCTGGCAGGGTTGAAGCTTGGATCCCCAAATCCCTAACCACATCCACTTCCGGCTGAACATATGTACATACTTACGTACATACTTACATTACATGACATAACATTGCATTACATTACATACATGCATGTATGTATGCACACACACACATACATACATACATACATGCATACATACATACAGCTTCACACATATATATATATATATATATATGTATATATATATATATGTGTGTGTGTGTGTGTATGTATATACACATATAGACACACACTTCAAGCCCGAGCAAGTGGGGTTGTCATATAGCTCGCGCAAGGAGAGTCGTCGAACACCAAGTGCCACATTGACTCAGGTTCCGCTTCAAGCGAGCAGCAGAGATCAAGCACGGGCGTGTCGCCATGATGGTGCCGCAACTGCAATGCTAGAACAGGGTGCTAGCAGGCCGGCATGCAGGAATAGGTTGAGGCTCAGATGGGCTAGACTTGGAAGCTGCTCTTTCTTTCTATTGTCCTTTATGCCCTGTGCTCTTTTTTCGAATGTGTGTTCTTGTCTGTCTTACATGCGTGTTTGCGTATTTCCTGTGTCTCCTCTCGCTTGCTGTCTTGCTTGTTCCGCTGCACCATTGATCTGGAAAGCCCTTCGAGTAGATACGCGAAGGGATGACGACTAATGCAGAAGCCTGCGAAGGAGCGAGGTGTAGCAAACCTTACATCGGTGCTCCTGTTCATGTGCTTGGACGAAGCTCGTTTGATGAGGCACGAGATTGCAGCAACACCAGGGAGATGGTTAGACAGAAGTCACAGGCCAAAGAATACAAAATGAAACAACCATGAAATCACTAAATATTTTCGGGAAAAATATGTTCTCCCGAATATGTCTACTGAAACAAACATGAAATCCGAGAAATCGCGCAGCCCTTCAGAGCTGGTAAGAAGATTTGCAGCCCGAGGCCTCAGTGGGCTTGGTGATCACCCACTGGGTGCGACTGCCGGGCTACGAGCTCGCTGGGACACTGGGCATAGATTCGCTTGTGGGAGTTTCTGCCTTTTGTAAAAGGATCCAAAGGCTGCTGTTGACCATGTTAACTTCGGATGAATAGCCCTGAACAGCTCCCTCCACCACCTCTGGGTGCTAAATGACCCTGACTCCTTCGAAGAATGCAGAACAACTTTTCTTCTTTGGGGGTGGGTTGCCTGTGTTGATCGTAGTGGTAGAGTCCTTGGGCAGCAGATCTTGCAGCCTGGGCGTTGTCCATCCAATGAGCTTACAAGTCCAATCCTAAGCCAATCTGTCGAACCTACAAGTATTTCAGCATTTGACTTTGTGTAACCCTAAGCACTGATTGGCCAGGCTGGAGTTGAAGGGCTTTCCGTGCTTTTCGTTGCTGGACGATTCGCCTCCACGCATGGGTGCTTCCGAGAGCAAGCCCTGCGAGTGCTGCTGTCCGCAGAAGATATGAACTACTATGGAGATATCATCCAGATGAGAGGAAGAACATGCAGACAAACAGTTTGCTTGCCAACTTGTACGTTTAGTTCTGTGTGAACTTGTTCCTCGCAAACACTATCTAGACCGAAGCGTGCACACAGGCGTACACATGCTGTACTGCATATACCAGTGTGTATATATATACACATACAAATACATGTGTGTGTCTTGAAGACACGCACCTTCCCGATCAGAATCACAAGGACTTCTTGGTCCAGCCAGTTCAACACCATCGTCACCCTGCCTGCTCTGTACTTCTTCAGCACCTTGGTTTCACAACGAAAATTCGGCAGCAGGTTCAAGTAGGATGAAAAGCTCGGCCATCTATTCGATGCCCTAACCTCAAGGAAGGTGTGAGTCTTCTGAGTAGTGGTCTTAGGTTTCCGTTTGACAATATTTGTTGTATGTCTTGTCTTGGCTGTTGTCACTCTTGATGTGGTGGTTGGAATGGAGAGATCGAGAGAGTGTGCCTGTATCAAGTCCAGGCGTATTCATTTGCGTCATCCTCTGGCTGGAGCTGAGCTTTTGGGCTCAGGACCTCGACCTGAACACATGACATCCTCGATCCCCTTGCATCGATGCCTTCCGCACGATGCCGTGAGATTTACAGTCACGGACCAGTAGTCCGTAGTCATGTTTTGATCAGAAGATGACTTTAGTTATCATCGTGCTAGATTCTTAGAGGCTCGCCGAGATGCTTACATGCGACCGAAAGCACATGGGCAGGAGGATGAGAGGGAGCCAGGCAACTTCGGAGATCCGCCGCCTGAAGTGAAAGATTAGTTTCTAGCGCTTGGGTTTTAGGATGCTGTTGTTGTGATTCCTGTGGCATGTCCTGTGGTCAGTTGAGTATTGTGCCCCTACTTACTTGATTTTTTCATGCTGACCCGATCAGTCACATTACTAGCCGCTAGCCCAGCATAGCATCTACCGGTGTGATCTGAGGCTCTTGAAATGTAGCTTCAAACTCATGGACCTGTAGATTGCACTCGGCCTGTATTTCTACATGTGCACAAACACTTACCCATGGAGCAGTGATGTAGGTTTTTACGTACGTAGCTGTGTTTGCATAGATGTATGTGGCATCATACGCAGTTGTGCCAGACCCAATTCAGAGATAGATAAAGCTAGGTGATCGGAGATCTTATGCCGCACGTGAGGCTCGGCCTGGGCATGTACAGCACCGAGATGCGCAACCGAATCCAGCCAGCATTAGGTTACATTCCATTCTATTCTACAATTCTGTTCACTTCAGTCAGATGGAGTGGAAGTTGTCAATCGATTGTCGTGGGTCCGTGCTTGTCAAAAGTCAGGGATTCTACCGAGAGCCATATGGGGGGTTCTGTTCGTGGGGTGGTCCTTGCTTTGTTGGAGTCCCTCTATTGCCATATGGAGACAAATAAAATTCGCGACATTTTTGGGCTGGGTGTTGGAACTTACTCTATCACCGATCAGCAAAGGTTCACCGGGAGTGCGACGTAGACCACACAGTCGCTACAACAGCAGTTCTCTAGCAAAACATTTACTCTTCATTCACACCTCGATGCTGCGACTCTGCGAGGGGAGATCAACAACGGCCGCTTTGCGATGCCCCTCGGCCGCGGACAGACATGCACCCTACCGAACCCATGCAGTTTGGGAGCGGAGGGGGGGCGGCAGGGGAAGGCAGGGCAGGGCCCCAGGGGCGGACCCAGCAGGCACAGTCTTGAGTAAGTCACCCTTATACAGGACCGGCCCGGAGGCCCTAGGGGCTCCTATGCATGCATGTAACGCGTGCGTGCATGCATAAATATTTGCATACATACGTACATGACAGTACATTCCATCATATGATACCACATCACATCACGTTACAGTACATACACAGGCATGCACTGCAACATGTCGTGTCGTCTCTCGACATGCGAACAGAATGTTGCTACATTGTGGCTGCTGCAAATTTCCGGATCCCCCCCGGCCCTTGTATTGAAATCATGTCCGCGCTTGTGGCCCTTATCGTGGCCCGCTCTGAAGTCAGCGTCGGATGCCTGGGGAGGGACTAAACCTCTAAAACCCTGAACCCTCTTTCCATCTATCTCTACACACGCCCACACTCGTGCGACCGAAACACACACACGCAGAGTTGAGGTTCGCCACGACAGGCATCATCCTGGCCCAGACCTTCACGGGAAAGGAGCGCACTTACGGTTTGGATTTCAGGGCTTTCCGGGTCTTTAGGGTGTGGGATTTGGGGCTTTGGGTCAGTGGGGTTCCAGAGCTCATCGGCATCCAAATTATTGGCCCAGGGTGCGCGAAACTGTGCTGAATCCACTTTCTTTGTGTAGTTGATAGCTGATCCGCACTCCAGAGAGTTTATAGGCTTCAAAGATGCTACGGCCAGATTTCGCAGGCTTGTGAGGCTCGCCAGGCCAGGCTTTGCTGGTTCGTAATCCCATTCTGGAGCAGCAGGGTCTTGGCTTGCTGAGGTCTCGGCTTTGTGTTGGGAGCTTCGAGCTTCTTGTGATACAGCCTTTTCTGTTCAAGACTGCGGCCGGTAGAATCAACAAACATACTCTTCTAGAGTTCGACAACAGCTCGAATTCCCTGGCAAGGATGGCATCGAACAGCTTGGTCTTTGAGTTCAGAAGGCTGCTGGAGAAAACGGGAAGGTCACGTCATTGCCACGATGAGAGACCAACGATAAACCTAAAGTACTACAACACGGCACATCAAAGGTGTCGGCTTTTGGCTGTCTCAATAGGAGTTGTAACAAGGATACTTGACGATTCCATAAGTGATGCAGGACCTCTTGACAAACCGCGGTCGTCGATCTGCGAGTCAGTTCTGTTGTGCACGAGGTACCACTGAACTATCTATCATCATGAACCTGCACCATGCCTGTCCGTATACCCTCCTTCTCGTAGTCGTATGCGTCAGCCCAAATTCTTACAGCGAGCGTTATGTTTGAACATGTATGTATATGTATGCATAGATGGGTGCGTATGTCCGTATGTATGGGTGTTCGTATGTATGTGTTCCCGGTTTAGCTACTTGCAAGGGATTTGTGTATGCATTACCTGTATGTATGTATATATATATATATATATCTTTGGAGAGAGAGAGAGAGAGAGAGAGAGAGAGAGAGAGAGAGAGAGAGAGAGAGACAGAGGGAGAAGAGAGAGCGAGAGAAAGAAAGCGACAGGGATAGCCAGAAAGAGGGAGAGAGAGAGAGATAGAGAGCGAGAAGGAGATAGCCAGAGAGAGGGAGGGAGAGAGTGAGAGCGACACACACACACATGCGCAGCTTGCCTACACGTAGATAGCAGACCACGCGAGAGGCAGAGACAGAACGAGAGAGCTTACATGAGGGCTGTCTTGCTTCCTCCTGGAAAACTTCTGTTGCTCCTACACTGCGGTGTGGAGCATGGCTAATCTTCCAAGATTCTGGGAACAGTGGCTGAAAATAGTATAGCACTCTGGCCTGCCGATTCGTCTGAATATAGCAAGGCAGAGCCATGCATGGGCTGGTTTGTGGCTGTTTGAGAAGGGCGGCGACAAGCAGTGATGGCAGACTTCTTGAACGGCTGGGCAGCATGTGCGTTTAAAGTGCGCGGCTGCAGTGCTCTTGGTATTTGTTCACAACAAGGCTTATTGGTGGCAGACAACAGCTAGTCGATTACAGGACACAAGACCTTACAGCTGCCTGTCCGCATGCGGGGGTCAGCGAGCACCCACGAGGTCTAAGACACGGATCTTCCGAATTCGAGGCAGGTTGCCACAATGTCGGTGCTGCGCATGTTCTCGCATCTGCTCTAATTTTCGTGCATCTGAAGTCGGGACTCGGTCAGGCGGTACAGAACTATCTAGGCTTTAGACGCATGTCTCTTAGCCAATTGTTAGCCCACGGTACGCCTTCGTATCGGCCCTTATCATGTGAGTCTATTGTGATTAGATACATGTTTCTGCTATGCTACAACGCTGTCATGCACCATAGCTCTCCGTGAGTCGAGAGTCGCTGGACGTTTCCCCAGCGCAACTGGCAACCTCCTGGTCATATGATTGATTCAATTCGCTAGCTCCTCCGGTAACGAGGGGAGCCTGTCAAACGAAATTTTCAGATCGCCGCTGTTTTTCGCCGGTCACTCTTGAGCTTTCCGGTCATTGCCCTTGTTGTGGCACATGTTACTCAGTCCGCAGCAGTTGCTTAGGATCCGAGCCCGCCTAATCTGTTTCAGCAAATTGGTGCGCGGTTTCTCTATACCGTTAATCTGTTAAACCCTAAAGCCCCACAGCCAAAGATCCTAAACTCAAGAAGTCGCAAGACAAAGCCCGGCTCACCTTATCAGCCCCCTCACCCTTTGCCACATCTTCGTCTTGAGGGCCATGGGCATGATGCAGGTTGACATCTGTGTCGTACCATCAAGCTTGTGTGTGAAGGGTGATGCGCCAAAGATCAAGAAGGCGTCTGAGTTCATGGGAGTTCCAGGTGGGTTCGGGGTGACGGGCAAGTGGCTTTGAACTTGAACACTTTAGGCTGTTCAGGGCTTGGTATCGCTTTATCACTGCCGCGCTCAGGATGTAAACCCTAACCGCCAGATTCGAAACCCCAAACCCCTGACATCCTCAACCCGAAACCCCTAAACCCCCAAACCTCCAAAACAGGATTTGTTTCAACATTCAGTTTCTGAAACGCTGACTGCCCGGGAGGACCGGTCCAGACAGCCGGCACGAAATCTTAGGAAGATGGCAGCCGTGGGTCCCACTTTAGAGGGCTTGGGTGTTGGATCCAGGGCCAGCGTTCAGGCGCTGGGGCTTTTGGAGTCTACGGTTTCTGGTATGGTTGCGGTTTCGGAATTTAATGGCTACGGGTTTGGTCGGGTTTTGTCTCCTGCCGTCTTTGCAGAGTGTGGGGAAGTATCGAAGGGACAGCGGCACTCTGAACGGCAAAGCTCCCAACTCGAAAAGCAATGTGAAGGTATAAGGACCTTATCTTGCGAGAATTTCCTGACAAGCGACGGGGGCCAAAGAAGAATACATGTGGTATCCTGTTGATGGTAGTTGACTCTTGTGTGGGGCCTGCGGCTGTGCGATAGCTGGCACGTAGGAGTACCGTGGAATGAACGCAATATAGGCCACATGTCATTATTACCACTGTCTCCTGCGATGTTAGCATTCTCTTGCCTAGTCGTACTGGAAGTGCGCTGTTTCGAACTCCGAGATACTTTGCCGAATGGGACTGCCCCTCTTTTTGGGTGGGCGGTAGCTGGTCGCACAGAAAAACAAACAAAGTTTGCACATGTGTTTCATGCCTCGACGGCAACATCGCTTGCTTCACTGTCATTGCAAGCGCATCAGCAAAGCCGAGAGGTTCAGAGGAGACCGGCAGCCCCGAGCGCTCTGCATCCCAGGTGCTCCAGTCTTCCGCCAGCCGCGATCCCGGATATGGGATTTACGAATCTTTGCGTTTAGGATTGAGATTGTTATCTTTATGACTTTATGGTCTCTGGAGACAGAGAAGGAATCCTGGTAGAAGTCGAGGTCACTCTCTCAGACACTGGCTCAGAGGTGGCAGCGGCCTCAGATATTGAGACTTCACTTTAGGAGCTCGCAAAGCCAGCCTGGCTATCTGCTCAGCTCTGAAACCGACGGAGTCTCTGTACATATTGGGAGCTTTTGGTACCGAACTTGTCCGAAACTTGACAGTGTGGAAGACATAAAGAGGAGCCGCGACAACGTTGGCCGTAGATCCATTGGACAGCTTCCCTTGCGAGAACGCTTGCAAGCACGAAGCGTGTAGAACGTAGAGAATCACACTCTCTCTCACACACACATGACCCTAAAGCATACATCTGAGCCGTCAGCCACAACCTCAACTGATTGACTTCATGATCGGAGAACCATCAGATTAGCACTGATAGGCATGGCCAAGACCATAGCAACGTGTAGTTAGTCCGACAGTGTGGTCAAGAGCGATAGCATCTAAAACTAGCCTCACATGTGCAGTGTCAAAGATACCAAGCATCCGTGACCTCACCTTGCCAGGCCGACCTTTCCGACCACTTGGATCAGGAGCATGATGCACGGGACTTGATAAGTATAGAGTCGAGCTTTTGGGTATATTATGGTACTCAGTGTAGGCTCGAGGGTTTTGGGCTTTTTTGTGCTGTGAACCGTTTCTAGGGAGGTTAACTTCGAATGCAGTTCTCCGGAGAATTGGGGTGTTTTCGAGGGGCTTGCAAATGCAATTGGAGATCCTACTTCGCCCCTTCTTCCCAATATTTCTATGCTGGCCACAAGATATGAACCAACATGCACCTATACCAAAGATATGCACCAACATGCACATATACCATTTTGGGGGTTCCTGATGATAATTGTGGCATAATGGGCCCCCCCAGACCCTATTCTAAGTATTAACGCCGCTTCTTTGTGCTGGATCCCAAGAGTCGCAAAGCTTAAGCCTTTCCGCAGGACATCCACGAGGATAGCGCTGGGGAGGGCTCTTCGCTCGCCGGGGCTCCGAGTTTCCACCACCTACTGCAAGCTTCTGCCTTCACAGCCTGCAGTTTTCAGTTGCAGTCTGCGGAATAATGTTGGTTTTTCAGCTGAAATCCAGGTGTGTAGTTATTTGTGTGCGTTTTTCTGTTGTGGCGTTCTGTTACATAAGCTTCCCGACCATTTAGTTCATGAGAGAGGAAGTCATACTACTGGTAGCAACATTTGTTTGTAATCTCCGAAGTAGCAACAACATAGTAACAGCCACTCTGCAGTAAGCCTGACCCATCAACGTCAAATCCTAGCCCCTTTCAAGCTGCAGGCCCCAGAGCTATCGATCGTCCTCAAGGCAGCTTGGGTGGGCAAAGAGGGTTTGGCTTGTGCTTCGAACTTGTCAGACAGAAAGAGGTCACTGCTTGGGATTTCGGGGAGGTTGAGGCAGCCGCAATGCGCACTCTACGTTCTAAATCCCGACTTGCCATGCGACATGCTCAAACCCTGTACCCGAACAAGCCACAACCAACCCTTGTTTCGGCCAGCCTTTGCCGCCCCCCTCGCCGGTTGGTGGCTCACCCTTCAAGGGTGTGCTCGGCCCGGGGCTGAGTGCTTGCTTCGGGTTGAAGGCAGATGGATATTCTGGGTATATGCCCATGATATATTATGGCTAACTCTCCCTTTCGACGTGCCAAAGGCTTTTCGGTTTGCTAGAACGTTTAAGTATTCACGTCTGTGTGTGTGCGTGTTTGATTATTGGACGATACCAACACCGACGAAGTAGCAGTGATAAGAACTGAAACAAATGTAGCAGGCACTACATACACTAAGACATCCAGTAACTTGCTACGACTGAGCAGCGGAGCATGGACAAGCTGCAGGTAAATGAACACACGGCGTATGCAACGACATTTAAACCTATAGTATATCAAAACACCTGTTCATGGATACTCACAAATGCGTATATGGTAAGAAATGCTCGAAGGCAATACGCTATGTTGTAATGTGCTGCGATGTGCATAGTCAGGGCCGGAGCAGCTTCGGTCTCTAGAAGTACACGGCACTATGGCAATATTGTGGCAGCATGCTTGTCGACGTGTTTGACTGACCCGAAACCCTCAATCCTAAACCCCTTAACCCTAAACCCTAAACCCCTAAACTCCTAAACCCTAAACCCCTAAACTCCTAAACCCTAAACCCCTAAACCCTAAACCGCCTATTGTAAACCCCTAAAGCCCTAAACCCTAAAGCAGAAAGTTCCGACATCCGGCTCTGAAGTCGACAAGCGGTACAAGCGCATGGCCATTCAAGTAGGGTGACCTTGAGGCTTCCTGCACAAGGACCCCTTCGAGCTGGAAGCCAAACGTGGGAGCCTTGGAGAAAGGACGGCAGCTTCCCAAGTGTATGGTCTTGAGCTCTCGTGCTGAGTTCTGTGGGTACGATACATGCAAAGAGCCGCGACTCCCAATCAAAGATCGAAAACTCGCTTCAGCTTGGCTTACAGATTACTGCCAGTGCAGTTTGGCTCCTCCGTCCTTTTCGCTTCCTTCTAGGGTTTAGGGTTTAGGGGCTCTGCCAGATTATTGTCCACGTTCGACGAAGACTAGATGACTAGATGTGTGCAGACGTACATGTGTGTCCCCGGCGTTCCGCGTTCCCAGTTGTTCCGAGTACCCGTGCATTTACAGACAATCCCTGCTCTGCATGCTGATGCATACTTGTTCAATTTTACAGCAAAAATTGCAACAATTAGACTGGTGCTTGGGGGGGTATGTTATACGATAGTTATAATACTTAATAGGGGCAAAAAACCACATAAACAAGGGCACCGGATGTGCAGTGCGTGCAGGTCGAAGGCAAATTTACAGGCAAGAATTGAATCCATGTTTGGCATACAGTTACCGTTATGGTTATACACCTCCCAAAAGCAGTGTCGTAACACTCGATGGAAAGATCTAGTGCTGAACAACGCTGTCCATATTCTTCTCCGGGATGCCGGAAAATTTCCGTCCGGAGAAATCAGCACTTAAGAAAGTTTATGTGCCTGCACAAACAAGTCAAAGTACTCTTCCCAAAAAAAAGTATCAAACTTTTTGGCTCGGGAAGCGCGGGCTTCGTGTGGGGATTTCCGCGGACTTGAAAAAGTTTATGTGGGTCGCCAAAACACAGAAAACAACACTTCTATAAAAAGGAAGCACTTGCGCCGACTGTATGTGCAGCGAGAAGGCCTGTCTGTTACAACCTCTCCTCGCGAGTGGAATATGCTACTATTCCCCAAAATACGATCTATCCGTTCCCGCACTGCACCCATGGACCTGCAAACTGGCAGGGGCCTGCCTTCTGGCTACCTGTCCCTACTATTTCGTCCCAATACCGAAAGTTTAAGTTTACGTGTTTTTTTTGCTCTTGATGTCTTAAGGAACCCACAATAAGGAACCCCCCGAAACCCTGTTCGAATTATTACAGGGCGCATGCAGCCTCCAAGCACCCAAACCCCCCGGGAGGCGAGGCAGCGCTTCGGAGGGATGCCTTTGGCCTCGGAACTCTGGCTTTCAGGGGACCCTATAATATAGTAATTACCCTACTTAGTATAGGTTCCTTATTGTATAGACCCCCAAATAAGGTACTTAGAGGATCATGGGACTTAGTAAGTAGGGGGTTAAGGATCCCTGTAAGGGATCTATAGGGTCTCTATAAGCGTTTAAGGTTTAGGGTCTACTTAGAGGATCATTTCAGCTTACCTTTGGTTAGTAGGGAATGGAGGAATGGGGTACAATTATAACGACTATGTACTACTACCATTCTTCCATGCCCTAGTAGCCAAAGGTAAGTCAGAGGATCATTTAGAAGTGCCTTAGTTATTGGTTTAAGTAGATATAACTATAGTTACCTTACTTATTCGTGGGCTGTCATGCTTATCTATTCTGAACCACAAGCCCGGGATCAGGGAGGATTTGTTGTGCGGTTTCGAGGTTGGCGTGTCGGAGATGTAGCAGTGAGGGAGCTCCATTCCAGCAGCCTCAGGTCAAG